TGTAGCTCCGCCTACTCAACATGCTAGAAGAAAGATCATAGTAGTGGAAGCCCCACTTCTTCAAACCTGTCAATAGGGACTGTTTGAAGTACGAAAGCTTATTTGACTTGATAAGTTCAAGTGATCATAACCTACCAAATTCTCCTAATTAATTGGAGGATCAAGGTTCAGGTGGAAAGGAGTTGTGAGCAACTACCGAATGTGTATAAGCTCCAAATCTTCAACCACAAAGGAGGATTCTAAATCTAATAATTTTAATAGATTCAGTATTAGGAAGCGCATTCCCCATAATTCAAGTTCAAAGCCTGAATAGGTGTAAAAGACTGGATCCAACATGCCCAAATATGGATGAATTACTAACAATTTAGTCTACTCAACACGCCATAGAAAGGCCATAGTAGAGGATCCCCCATCTTAGTAACCAAAGGATGAAGAGCTATCAAATCCTAACTCTCCTAATTTAATGAACTCACGAGACTCAGATTAAAGTTTCCTCAAGTAGTTAATGATTAAGATACTACCCATATTCGATATTATCAACCGAATCTGAAACTTGCAAATCCTTCAATAAATTCATAAAGCACAAAGCGAGAATCGAAGAAATTTTTTTTCAACAAGTCCATCAAAGCACAAAACAAAGGACTAAAGAAAATATTTTATAGTTCACACAAAGCCTAAGGCTGAATTAAGATGATGTCATTATCAACAAGTCCTCTATGCACAAAGCTTTAGACCAATGACTTCTCACCACCAATCTAATACAAGCCTAAAGGGTTTAGGCCATCGAAATCTACTTCTTCATTAAGCATGCGAAAGAAAGGAACATAGGGCCAAAGGTACAAAAATCACTTAACAAATTAGTAAAGACAAATCAAGTAATTCTCCTTTTATGTCCATAACACAAAGTATAGTGTAGAAGGAGCTAAAATCTCAAAGCTCAAACTAAAACTAAGAAAAGAAGCAACCTAAATGACATCTATAAATGTCCTTAAAGACTGGAGGTATTTTAAATATTATTTTGGTCGATATCACACCGCGTGCATGATTCTCAAAAAAATATTTAAAATTTCATACCAAAATGCAGCTAAATGAAGGAAGAATGGAAGATCCTCCATAAACTGATGTACCATCAATGAAAAGTATAACTCGGGCAATATATAATCCATATTGTATACAACAAAGTCCCACCAACTGATGAATCTATAAAAATTGGATAAATTTTGAATGATACATGTGATTGTATAGAAGAAATATTACATCCTCATATGACCACGACGAAGGAGAAAGTTGATCATTTGCAAAAGAGTTGCGATCATTTACAAAAGAGCTGCAAACTAAGGTGACAGTAATGGCAGAAGAAAAATATAAGATGAGAATGCTTTCTACTATCATCAATTAATGAAGTAACACTCTAAGGATCTGAATATTAAGTGTTATATCACTATCTTATGGATCTCTACTTAATTAAAGCCAACATGCTAATCAAATTATTGCCTATAAGTGCATTTAAAGATATATAAAGGAACATAGATAGACTCTTGGAGATCTACAGAATGAAAATCTCAATGTGACATCCAGATGAGCTTTTAAAGATTTGTAAAAAGGAAGACCTCTGTGTGACATATAGAGTAAATATATAGAGATCCACAAGGTCAATAACATACAACAAATGTGATTCGCTCTAGACACTAACGACATTTGGTGGGAGGCATTTGTTAACATCTGTACAAATAATAAAAGAGATGGGAGAGAGAGAGAGAGAGAGAGAGAGAGAGAGAGAGAGAGAGAGATTGGCTTACCGCGTATATGTCGAGAAGATCCCACAAATCTCACTCAGATGCCTCATTTTGTCAAAGAATCTTGAATGTCCTATGGGCTCACCTCGATCACATGTCCACTTGTGTCAATAAAATAAAGGTAAAGAGAGGGGCTTGGTTCCGCTTCTTCCCGCTATCTTCTACATGATACTCCTGCATCCATCCCATGGCCTAACTTGTTGCTACCTTTCATTATCTCCAAGCATACAAACCGATGCCTTCTTTAACTCCATTCTTCATTTGGATCGAAAGAAGATAGACGAGAGAGGCTTCCTAGTTATGAAGGTAGTCATCTTTCTTACCTTTTGCATGCTTTTTCGGCCAAATACCACAGGTTTTCCGAGCAAAAAGAGAGAAAGAGAGAGAGAGAGCTAGAGACTTCTCTCTAACCTAACCGGACTCCTCCTTCCCGTTCTCTTATTATAGCCAGAGCCAGGACCCGATTTTACATTTTGCGACTGTCTCCCCCATCCAGTCACCTTAAGTGCTGAATCCCACTCATAGCCCGTGCTCTACCTCACACCAGAGCTATCCCATTCTTTCTTGTACCTACCAAACTCAACAGCCCTAGCCGTAAACCCACAGAATACTTACAAGCTAATGTGGGAGACTTGTTAGTGTCTATGAATGATAATAAAATACATACTAGTGAATGCATAGCTTGTAAACACAAACAATAGTCCATCCATAAGTGATTATGGGAGACTTGTGGGTATTTATGAACATATATATGCACAAAATATATCATCCACAGACGACAATGGTGAATATACTACAGAGGTGATGGGTCTTATGAATACAAATGTATACTAAAGAAGCCATCTACAAAAAAATATGAAAGAAATTATAGTAAGGTCAAATACCTTATGATAATGGAAGAATGGTTGCATATACAGTGGTGCACCTACCATTTCAACTATCACAAGAACTACAATGATTATTTTAGGAACTGATTCCTTACATAGCTCTTCTACATGATCTGATGCACCTTCAATCATCACATTTGTTAGCTCAAGATAGTGACCACTAATTTTGAAGTATAGGACATCAGTAAGGATATAATCATCCAAGGCTGAAATGATTGATTCTTTATTCAAGCCTACAAAAAAAATGATGATGGCATAACCTAGGAGTTGCCTATCGATCCCAACATAAGTTCTAGGAAGAGAAGGTTATATTGTGAGTCTAAGTTCAACCAGATTTTGAACACTAAGTTGGATGAGATTATTGAGGCTTGCAAGTTTCTTGATGAACAATAGTCATATATCCAACATACCTCCTATGAATCAATATTGAAGTACTACGACAAATGCAAACTTCTACGAGTTATCATAGAAGTCATATAAAAAGTCCAAAATACTCATGCACATACACCATAATTTGTATACACATAGGCACACAAAAGGGGTAAGCATTATCATAAAACCTGCATTGGCTCTAATGAGCGTGTCTTAGATACATACATGTCATTTAGGGATACTACGCGGATTAATAAATGAACTTAGTTTGAGCCCGATCTTTCTATGTGGGTAAATAAGAGACAATACGGCTCGAACTATCAAACAAATATACAATCAAGGTGTTGACTAGAATATCTATTTTATACATTTATATAAGGCCTTCAAGGCCTTCAACAAAGAAAATTCATTAACAAAAGTTTGGAACCTACAAAACTCGATCCTTTATCGACAACTCGATAGAGTCGATGAGATTTAATCCATAAAAGAAAATGACCCAATAAATATCCCATTGATGGCTGTGTTGAACTTGACATCAACTAAAGAGGTTAATTTCAAATATTTCAAAATGCCATCCCAAATAACCACGAAAATCCAAATCCTAAAAATCATCCAAATACAAAATATTTAAAATTGAAATTCAACCATTAAAATACTTAAAGCAAAATTCATCCATCCTCCTTAATAATTTACTAAGGTGGACAAATTTAAAATTACTTCAGCTCACATAGCGCTAATTCTTAGTCAAAAATATCACCATGATCCATTCTCAAATAATCTTCTGCCAATAAAGATGTGGTACGTATCCTCTGACCAACAATTTTGCAACCAAATGGCATCACAAGATAAACAGTTATGACCCGGAGCCCTCTGAACTGAGTGGTTTTATCACCAATGGAACCATGAGATAGCAGTTATGACCAGAGCAAATACATTCCTTAGTGGCATCAAATCCTTGTGATATGAATCAATATGATATAATTGATAGGGTATAAAATCCTCTGTTATCTAAGATGGATTCAAATTTGTCCCCTCAAACAAATATTAACACCAAGCCTACAAGGTCCCCTTGGACAAAACAAACCCATGACTATCGACAAGTATTATTCTGTCAGGCTGGGTCAACTACCTCCTCTGATTAAGTAGACCAAGGACCACAATAGCCTAGGATGACAGAACCATGGGATCTTGATCGAGTCTATCATCCATTCCCTCATCATCTGTTTTAAATGAAACATGGTGAAATTTTTAATTTTAAATATAAAATCTTCACATTTCCAAATACCTAAGCCCATGCTGCTACAAAAGATAGTACCTCAGCAATATTACTACCTTTAACCAACTAACTAAAAGATATTAATCACATATATAATCAAATCAGACAAGAGCAATGATTGACTACATATAAGCTTAACTTATATTTAAAAATCTCTAATATATCTCATATAATTTATTAGCATATCTCACTATTACGATAAAATATTTATTAGGCTATATTATATCATTCATTTATTTATCTTTTAATATAACTTTTTTATATAACATTGCCCATACTTCCATCTATGCATATGAGATTATAGAACAAGCAAAAGCAAACATAACCTATTTCTCTCAATTGTGTATATATATAACCAAAATAATAAGAGAAATGCTACGTTGCCCAATCAGACATAAAATAATATATTACAACATATATGACTGAGCATTGCATTTAATATCTTTTTGCCTGTGAATGTATCATCTTTTTTGAAGGCTGTGAGTGAAGCTTATGTAGCAATTTTCAACTAACATTCATTCTAATGCTGCTTAAAATAGTTATGACATAACAAACCGTTGAAAATTAAAAAAAAACAATTTAAACATGCATACAAAATGAACTATTTATTAAATCAGCAGTTCGCTATTACCAATGCAATTGCAGTTTCCATCCCAAGTGAAAGATGTCGCTGAATTAGTGGTCTTCACTAAACCAATAAAGTTGAGTACAACACATCACATGGCATTTCGGAAGAAACTGAAACATTTAAAAAGTTGTATATATCTATGAAGAAACAAATTTATACAATACCTGGATAAATTTGCATATATCCGAATTCCTGATTCGAATTTAATCACCCTTTAATTTATGAGAGCATTTTCTTAGATAAGAATAATAACGCATACAAAACAGAAGTTTTAGGTGCAGATTTAGTTTGGTCCTGGTGAAGCCATCAGTCAAAGGCATGAATTTTCAAAAATACAAATGGAATGGTACATTTAAAAATGCTAAATATTAAATTTGACCCCTTCATCATCTGTTGAACTCCCCTTGAAAATTGCCGCTTTTCCCTTTTGCTCCAGCAACTTTAGAGCACGAATCAGAACCCCTCGGTCAATACCAGCAAGCTCTTTAAAATGGAGAAAAAAAAAGCATAAATAATAGACGCAAATTTCTAAGAATAAGATGATTTATCCAAATAAACAGACATATCGACTGTATAATATCATACGGAGAAGAAATTTCACATTACCATGAAAAAAATTTCACTCAGACACAACATGATGTACAATATAAATCTAGCACTCATCAAAGTATTATTACTCGGGATTATGTTTATATAGGCGAATAGTAGCAGTTTATGTATCGAGATTATGTATACGTTGTATATTCATGTATGCCGACTTGGATCCAAATCTATCTCTGAAAGACACCCATCTTTAATTACAGGCCTACCGTGTGTGAGAATGACCTGAGAACATGCGTGTGAATGAAGAGCAGATAAAAAGAGGAGAAATTGAAAACTAAAGAACAAGCAAGAATCTATGGAAAATTAAAAAAAGTTATGAATCTCAAACTAATATAAAATTCATAAAAAGAATCCTTTCTTATTTATAAGATTTTAAAGGCTACATGAAAAATTATATAAAAAAATTCAATGCTACACCAAACACCTGTACACATGTCATCTTCTAAATGGCTAAAGGAGGGGGACATAAAAAAGGCTCGGATGGGTTTTCTCTGGGTGAGCTTAATAGTGCATAGTAGGCAAGTAGGCTCAGGGGAGTCTATGGGAGAGTGCCAGGATGAAGGTACTAGCAACCAGCAAGCTTGTCGAGATGCTGTCATTGGAAGGGAGAGGCTTTGAATTGGATGGTCACAACAAGATAAATCGAGGCCCCTATGAATAGGCACTTTCCAATAGTTGAGCTTGGTGGGCTTGTATGAGAATAATTGCTCGGGAAGAGAGTGAATGACTAAAGTGGAAGTTGAAGTATGTGGCAAATGCTAAGCAACTACATTGGTGAGGAATCTCCTATTCACCCCGTAAGAAAAGGGTTGAACTACCTGATAGGCTCAGGCAAATAGTGCTTGTTGATCATGCCGAGTGAGTTCCCCTGTGGGTTCTAGGCAAATAGCACCTCTCTGATTGTTAGGGAATTTCCTGCTGCATGCCCCTCTTTGAGTAAAGTTCTTTCGTCATAATCCACTGGCAACTTGCTAAATACCAATGAAGACATACACAAGTATACATTTAGTTGCTCGATTCATTCGACCCTATAATAAGCGAGTAATGAGAAAGACGAGTGAATGAAAGAGTATTAAATACTACTACCAATCCATTAAATAGGAAAGTAAATGCAAAGTTACATCCTTGCTTTTACTATAGCCTTAATCATCGCATAGATCCCGTATTAACGATATGATGCCAACTTCTTTATTGGCTCTTGATAATGAAAAAAAAAGCATAATCCAAACTACACTTATGTTCGAGCAGAGTCTCAAGAAGGGATGAATAGAGCACATTCCCGCACTAACCCTACCACAAGCACAACAGGAAATTCGTTATTTACCGGCGATTAGACTAGCAGTTTTGACTGGCGGTTTTTAATAATACACCGCCGAAAATTCCGGTGGTAAACTAACCACCGGATATACCGTCTATTTTTTTTAGGCGTCGAGTATTACAGACAGTTTGGTCGCCAGTGTTAAGTGATTTTTTTTCCGGCAGCATAAACCACTGAAAAAAAGCCGAAAATTGACCTAAAATTGGTCGCCCCAGCCCTTCCTCCTCATTTCTTCGCGTTATTGAATTTTGTCTAGACGCTACTCTCACTCTCATCTCCGACCTGCGTCCACAGGACTTCAGTCGCCGACGCCCTCACTCCGGCCTGCGAACTACTTGATCTTGATCTCCCGCCGACGCTTGCAAATGCTTTTGCTTTTTTTGTTTTTGTTTTTTCTTTAGTCATGGATGTTCTCAGTCGACATTTGTAAGAGGATGTACCTTAATTTTTTAATTTTGCTATTAATAATGTTCTTGTTGATAAGTCTAGAGAGGGTTGAAGGTCAACTTGAATTTTGAGAAAACCTTAAGCCCATATCATTTTACTTTAGTCATGGATGTTCTCAGTAGACATTTGCAAGAGGGTACACCCTTTTTTTTTATTTTTTGCTTATAATATTATTATTGTTGATAAGACTAGAGAGGGAGTTGAAGGTTAAGTATTTGTCAAAATAAAGTAAGAGAAGAAATTATCTTCCATATAGGGAAGAGGAGGTCCATTACAAGAGGTTATAAGGACTTTTATTAAATTTTTACTCATTATAGCTAGTAAATCATCAAGTGGTATTTAGGTCTGGTGTTAAACATTGGCTCATTATAGTTGATAAATCACCAAGAGGTTGTAAGGACTTCTGTTAAACCTTGGCTCATTATAGTTGTTAAATCATCATAAGATGCTCTGGTCAAACAAAATATGTTTTCGGTAGTCATTTTTTTCGCAAATACTACAAGTTTCCAGCAGCTAACCGACAGCTTAGCCGCCGAAAACTTCGATATCGGACGATTCATTTAGCCGCCGGATATAGCAGCATTTTCTACGACCGATTTGCCGCCGGTAATTAATCGGTGGTCACCAGCGATTTGACTGCCGGAATTTATCGACTGTTTGAACTGCCGGTACGTTTAGTCACCGGAAAATGGCCGTCAGAATTCCTTTCCTATGCAGTTTATTCCGGCGATTTTAAAAACGCTAGGAAACTGCCCAAAATTTTACAAAACACCGGAAAATTTATCTTAACCGCTGGAAATGGTCGTCAGAATTCAACCATTCTCCTGTAGTGAAGGTATTTATAGATAAAGGATGGTACATAATTATTGGAGCGTCAATCACTCTGCATTTAATGCACGAACCATGATCTTCTGGATCCACTATTTCCCTAGGATTTGATGGCTTTCACCTACTCGCTTTATCGAACAGTTTTGAAGGTCGACATAACTACAATTTCACACTAAAAGCGAATTGACATTTCAAAGTTAGAGCTACTAACTCGCCATACCACGGCAGTTATCTCGCTGCTATCAAACAAATCACAAACATCTTTAAAATATCCAAAGTATTCTACTCAACACTCAAAAACACACAAGATGCTACTCGCATAGATATTTATACTCATGTTAATCATAGCATACAGAGAGAATAAAATCACATGAAAGTAATGCAAGTGTTGTGGCATAACTAAAAGGAAGGGTGAATTTGTTATTAAAATAAATTAATTAAGTGACAACACAATTTGTAGCAGAAGTAATGTTGAAAAAAATAATTTAACTTTAAAGCGTAAAGTACTAAGAACATTTTTTTTTCTTTTGAACAACAACAATAACAATAACAAGCCTTTATCCCACTATGTGGGGTCGGGTACTGTGGGCTCCAAAAATTCGGTACAGGCCTCCCCGCCGCTTTTTTTTTCTATTCGGCGAGGGAGTTTTAACGGAATAAGTTCCGAGGTAAATTTTGGAAGGCAGATGGGTTTGTAGATAAGACACTACCCAGAGATTTCGCCCTCATTTTGCGAGGACTTTATATCTGCTGGTTCTGGTTTCCTATAGCGCAAGCCCCTATAGTTAATTACCCTCCCGATCACGAGAGAGAACTTTCGATTAAGGCTAGTCATCAATCAGATTCGTATAGAGATACGTGCATCTGGCATATAGTAGCAGCATGTATTTAGGTTTGAAGATTGGAAGTTTGAATTTGGAAGGGTTTGGATATTAGAAAATTTGGATGATTTGAAGTTGGGATTTGATATTTAAAATAGAAATTGCACCATTTTGCACTTAAAACGGATGGTGGGGGAATGGATGATGGACCCGATCAAGATCTCATGGTTCCGTCATCCCGGTCATCATGGTCTGGTCTACTTAGTCAGAGGAGGTAGTCGACCCAACTTGACAGAAGGATCCTTGTCGGCATCCATGGGTTGCTTCGTCCAAGGGGACCTTGTAGACCTGGGTTGAATGTTTGTCTAAGGGGAAAAATTTGAATCCACCTTAGCTTGCAGAGAGCTTTGTGCCCTATCAATCATATCATATTGATTCATATCTCAAGGATTTGATGCCAATAAGGAACGTATTAGCTCTGGCCATAACCGGTATTTGTGGTGCCATTTGGCGGCAAAATCACTCGGTTCAGAGGGCCCCGGGTCATAACCGTTTATCCTGCGGTGCCATTTGGCGGCAGACCGCCGGTTAGAGGACACGTACTACGTCCTTACTGGCAGGAGATTGTTTGAGAATGGATCCTAGTGATATTTTCGACTAGGCACTTGGCTCTTTTATGAGCTAAAGTAAATTTGAATTTGTCTACCCCGACAAACTGTTGCGGAGGGTGGATGGATTTTGCTTTAAGTGATTGACGGATTTATTTCAGATTTAAATATCTTGGAATTTGGGATTTATTGGATTTTGGACTTTGTGGGTGGACTTTTAAATATTTATGAAATGGACCCCTCCAGTTGAGATCTGCATTCAACACGGCCATCATCGGGGTGTGCATGAGGTCATTTCCCTTTATGGATTAAACCCTGTCAACTCGACCAAGCTATTGATCGAGGATCGGGTTTCTCGTAAGTTTTATGCCTTTATTTGTGAATTTTCTTGATTGTAGGCCTTGAAGACCTAATATGAATGTATTGAAACAAATATATTGGTCCCCACAACCATGTATTTATTTGAAGGTTCGAACCCTGTCGACTTCTATTGATCTGTATAGAAGGATCAGGTTCGAACTAGAATTCATTTATCGACCCGCGCAGCATCCCTAAGCGTCACGTGTGTACCAATAACACGCTCGCCGGGGCCCAAGCGGGTTACAATTGAATTTACCCCTTGTGTACCTATGTGTATACAAACTACTGTGCACTTATGTGGGGGTACTTTGAAATATTTTGTAGTTGTGCAGGTAACAACCATTTGAGTGCACACAACTTTTCATTTGAGGGCTTGTACACGCCTTCTTTCCGCTAGCACGAGTATTCTGGATTTTGGGGTCAATGATCGCTGATCTGGAAAGAACCCCTTTTAGGATCTTCGGTGTAATGGACTTGTTATTTTCGGTGTTTGTGGGT